ATATATATATATATATATATATATATATATAATAATAATGGACAATAATTTGATATTTTTTCTTATAATATTTATATTTTTTTATAATTTATTATCCGATAACAATATTATCAATGACATGCAAAAAGCTAACAAGTTAAAATTCAAATTCATCGAGAATCTCATTATGAAAGAGGGAAAGCATAGGAGAAAAAAGTATACTTTTTTGTTTTTTTTTTTATTCTGTTTAGGGATTCCATAAACCTGGTCATGTAATCATTTAAGTTGTCCTTATGCATTTTATTTTTTCAAAATGAATTGATTCAACGTACCCCATTTTGAATTTGATTTGATTTTTTTTTTTAAACTCATTCAAATTTATGAATTTAGTGTATATTATTATTGTGTTGTTCATATGAATAACATTATGTAATTTTGATTGAAAGAGATACTTCTCCAAAATCAACTAAACTTCCACTTTATTATTTTTTTAAAAATAAAATCGAATTTTATGTCTGAGATCCAAATCAATTATTCATTAATTAGTTGATTTAGTTTTCATTATGTAAAAAAAGATATAAAATCAAAGCAAACCTCAGCTAATATTTTAACTAGTTAAGATTTATTTCATAATAAAGTATAATAAATAAAATTTACACTTAAGTATAATAGTAGGCTATCAAATTACATTTAAAAAAAAATCAATAAACATGCAATTTCATTATGTTAGAGTAATAATTTAATGTAAAACTATATTATAATTAATAGTTTTAGAAAAAAGTATTATACCTAAAATATCTGTTTTTGAATTACATTAAGAATAAATAGAATATGTAATAAGCAAGAACTGTGAGTTTCTTTGAATTTTTTATTTGCTGACATCCTACTTTCAAAAAAAATCATTTTAAATTTTAATATATATATATATATATATATAAAATTAACTTTTATAGTAACAAAAAGCTAACAACATACTTACTAATAAATATTCAAGTGTTAAATGATACATTTATAAGTCTCAAATGTTTAAATTAAAAATTGAGATTAAGAATAGTTATATAGACTCTCTCTTTTAAATCCCTATTTAAGGATAAAAAATGTGATAAAAATATTATCTCAAACATAAAAATTATCCTAATAATACTAGTATAACGAATATAAAGGATAATATTATCATAATGAACAAAATCCTAATAAACTAAGACTCAAAAAAGCGTAATAATATTATAGATAAGAAATATCGACACTCCCATTTTTAACTACTTACTAAAAAAGAAAGTAAAAAAATATATTATTCATATCATCTTTGATATTTTGGTATTAGAATGAGTGTTAAGCCTAGATATATGTATTAAACTCTAACCTTTAAGCCAAACTCTTTTCTATTAGCATAACAGACTTTAACAAAATGTTGAGGCCAAATAAGAGACAGGCCTCAGACACTAGATTTGAGTGCCGGATATATTCTAATCATCGTCTTATCTTTCTGTATATGTTTGTTTCTTTGTTTGTTTGATTGGATTGGATACTATTGTTAATTGTTTACTCACTGTTCTTTTATCATCAGTGTCATGCTCCTTTGCTGTTTTTCATTATTTTTAGTGTATACTTTAGACAAATAATATATATATTAATACTTCCTTTATGCTAAAGTTGATCAAGTTCGTTAATCTGCACTGGAAAGAGTCAATTTATTCCCTTACCTTTATAATCATTTTCGATTTAAAACACGTTTTTAATAGTAATAGCATAGATAATTAAAAGGTAGAACTATAGAAGTGTTGTTGTGGTAAAAGTGAGAATTAGGCTGTTCTAGCAGTGAGAGTAAGCATATCTGGGTTTGCTTTTATTAGAAGCATTTATGAATTTTCTTGTTGAAGCCACGGTATTATAGTTTTTCATGGTGTTATAACGCGATTTTATGTTTCTCAATTACTTGCAATTTAAACACCCTATGAATAATATACATTATATCTTAAATTCAAACCTATGTTCTATAAAACAGCAAAAAAAGGGTGCCAAGCATCTAGCAGTTCCTGTAATGTGTTGCTTTTGAGAGAAAAAGTGGAGGCATAAAATGCTTGTGTTAGAAGAAATGGGTAGTCCAAAAACAAGATTTGTAATTAATTGGTGCACATGCCTACTTAATACAACCAGACTCTTTTTCTTTATTTGTTGGGCCATCAGTGGAAACTGTAGTTGTCAGAGTTTTGTTTTTTCCCATCTTATGGAGAAATCATAACAAGTACATGCAAGAATGCTTTGCAATTCTTTGTCCTGTACTTAGTTCAGATTGGTTTTGGTATGTGTCATCTTCAGTCAAAAACTTGTTATTTCCTCTTCTTATTCCTCCCTCTTGAGTGGAGGAATGCAATTTTTCCTGGTATAAGGAAAGAAATATCAAGATGCATTCTCCCTTGAGATACAATAAGGGAAAGTAGGGTTGCTTCTTGCTTACCTAAACGTATCTTTAAGCCACATATATTTGAATACTTTACATAGCAGAACCATAATGAAACTAAACAATGTTGAGTTCACAAATTACTGCATACATGAATGTTTCATTGGATATAGGATGGACGTTATAATAGTGATTGAACCAAAAGTTGATTTGATTCACAAGAGTACCTACGAGCTATGCTAGAAATGAATATACTTGCTTTGGTTACACACTTGCAGACCATTATGGGAACAATCAAATTATAAACAAGTTTTGCATTTTCATTCCATGAACATGAAAGGGGAAACTGAACAAACTTATGTTTCAAGTTTCATGAGTCCAATGAAGGATTGGTTCTGATACATCTAACTTAATGGCCATATTGGTCTTATCAGTATTACTGAAGCAAATTATAGGAATGTAAAGGAAATTGAAAACAGATAAAATATTATTGGTATGGCAATGAAACAAAAACTACAATTGCCCCACAAAAAAAAAAAAAAAAAAAAAAAAAGATACCCTTGAAAGTAGACCTCCTATAGTCCTATTTAGGACCCCACTTCATATTTCTTCTATTCATGGCAACCCTCAAGAAAGGAAGTTTGCATACTTACTCCAAATTAAAAAAAGTTTGCCACACTTGAGAGTCCATTAAAAAATATATTTACAACATGTGGTGGCATCCTGATTTCTTGCCATTGTTAGCGCATATTCTCACGTGGGAATCCTGTGAACCGAATAGCAACCTCACGTAGGCCATGCACTGGACACAAGTCAAACTTTAACGCATTGGAGATACTGCCTTAAAGTCTCACTTACCAGTTTTTGTCCATAGCTCTGAAATTGACCTACGAACTATTTCATCGATTATTTGGAACCGAAAATGTTTTATCATTATATTATTTGTGTCCATCAATCTTCTTTCTCTGATGTTCAACTGTTTAGTGACGCACATATGCTTTTTAAGTGTTGGTGAAGCTCATAACTGTGGTCCTTGTAGAGCATGAATGATTGGACCAAATGGACCATATTGCTGTTGCATCATTGCATATTATCATTTTTCGTGGACCACAAGATTTTTTCCAAATGATTACTCTCGGTTGCTTAAGAGGAAATAAGACGCGTCTAATACGGCTTATTCATTCTAATCTTGAATTGATGGCTTTTGCATCTTCTCTTCATATTGACTGCTACTACAACAGGTTCTTTCTTTGGTTGAAATTTGATAATGCACAACAAAATTTGAGTAGTTATTTTGAACACTTGTTTTGTTGTAGTTATTAATTATTTAATATTTATACACAGTAGACACACAAACAACTTGATGATAGACTTATGTTGATCATCTATATGAGAAATAAAGGTTAACATAAAAGTCTAAGCATGCCAGAATGCTACCTTTAGATTTAGTCTTAATTTTCCTTGAATGCCACTTGGTTATTCATCATTAACAGGAATTGATATTCCTTGAATGCCACTTGGACCAAATTAGTCAATCAGAAGATTTTTAGTAGCTTTATTTTCTGATATTGAGCAGTTCAATAAACGTATTATAGTTCATATTTTTTTATGAAAATGACACTGTAGGTGCTGTTAACACAATTATACACAAGCAACTGCATTCCAACGCAATTTCTGCCATTAAGAGTGGCCTTTGGTTTATATATATCAGAATGCAATTTTCTACCATCGATATAACAAGAAAATCAATTCTTAAAAACAAAAATATAGCATCTCTCACCTTTTCTGTTGCAGAGATTTTACATAAATCATGTACGAACGATACTTGTTAAATTATAAAATGAAGAATGATGCAAGTACACATGATGATAGAGTACATGTTCACATGAAGAAAATGAGAAAATGGGATAAATAATTGAGAATGCCAACTCAGTAGGTGCAGCAACCAAATCTCCACTCAGAATCATCTATTGGCTCTCCTCCTCTCATTTCTAACAACCTCATCGGATACAGGTTGAAAATGATACAGTGTAACAGTTTCTAAAATAACTTGTCTTGCATACTTTGTCTTTTTCCTTATGCTATATATACACAAACATCTAGCTGTGTGAAAGTGTGCATACTGAAATATAATACAAGTTTTATGTTATTCATAATACTGCTCCCTTTTTTTATTATGGTTGTCTTCTGGTAAATCTCAACAAAACTAATGTGCTATTTCATTCCTCATACAACCCACTTGCTTATGTATTTAACATAAACATGCATCCAAGCATTCATATTTCACAAAATCTTAGTCAGAGAGCCATGTCTCTTAAAACTCATATGTTGTACTACAGTCTTGCAGATGGTACAACTTAGAGTAAAATAATTATAAAGGTTCCTCCAAAATTAACATGAATATTACCCAAAACAAAGAGATAATGTTTTTAAATTGCCGGAAAAAGACCTTACAAATTGAAACAGGGTGTTTTTCATCTTCACACCAAAACACTAGTTGTGTTATCTACACTATCAATTAGCAATTATCTGTGAACTCGGACACACCTTCATCTGATGACATTAAGGTGACAATGAACAACAAGCTGTTCGGCTTATTGATGGACTCATGGCAAAGCAACTACTTATCTTCCAATGTATATCGTTTTTCATAACTTGTCCTTAAAGGTGTTGCATAGATATTCTTCCACATATTGGCAGAAGGATAGGAACCAGAACTGCTTCTAGTAACTCCACTTAGTGACACACAATCATCCATAAATATTCTCTTCGAATTCTGAGAAAAAAACCGATAGGGTTTAAGTTTAGCTTTGGTTGATGCTGTCAGATTCATGTAGCTTGGCTTACAAACATTTCTTTCTTCTGTTGCTTCAACCATAACATTGTTGGTAGGTGGTACAGGTGATTCAGATGTGCATGAAGTTGACAAAGGGCTATCATCATACATGCATTCAGAGCTTATGGATGAAGATGATGGAGTTGATTGACTAGTTGTAAGTGATTTAGATGAAACCCTGGTTGTCACACCATTCCTTTTTGCTCTGACTGAGCCATTTTGTAGATCAGAATTAAAGGGAAGAACAAAATGATCACTTTTACTAGTCACTGGAGTCATGTCAGATGAGTCCAAATACATGTCTACCATCGACCTGCTCTCCCATGGCTTTGCAGCCATCCAGCGATCTAACATGCCCCATCCTGAGCTCTTTCTATCTACGCTGCGGTGCTTGAGAGGAGTCACTGGCTTAGAAGCTCTTGAGTTTGGACTAGCACTCACTGTTGATTTCTGAAAGCAACCAAATTTCATTGAAGCACATATACATTAGCAATTGTCTCACTGCTGATACCAAAAATATAGAAGATCTTTTCTAATCCATTACCTGCTTAGACTGAGAGTATGCCTTTGTCCTATCCCTCTTAATTGCTCCTTCCTGCCTCATTTGTAACTTTGCCTTAACTTCTCCCGCAGTTCCTGGAATGTCACACCATCCTTGCTGACAATAACATGGAAAAATTTTGCTAAATGTTAACATCTCTTTACAAATTTAACATGGCATCAACGTTACAGAATGTTACACAATTGAAGAAAATGGTGAAAAGCTTATGATACCTCAGCTTGCTTAACAGGATCAGCTTCATTGCAGGGGTCACTCACAGCTTTCCCCACATTCCTTGCCTTGGCGCGGGCTTGAACTCGCACAAGAGCCTGCATGCATCTTAAAGTAACAGCTGCTTGCTTTCTCACTTGCCAACCGCGAAATATAGCTTGCAACCTCACCACTGCCCTCAGGGCCCTCAAAGCTCGTCTTGCCTTCAACATAAACAACAAAAGTTCAAAACAAACAAAGAAATGCCGAAAAATAACTAAAAATATGCAAGCACATTAGCACATGGAGCATTCTTTCGGTAAACTATTAATCAAACCTCAAACAGAGTGAATGATCAATAGAGTGGCAGATCCTACATTTATTAACTCCCATTTACACATTGCTTGAGAATTTCAGAAAACTATACAAATTGCAGGTCAGTGTGCTACACTCCTTTTGTGGATTAAACAAAAAATTATGTTCACATGGTACTAGAGCCCCACAAGTTCATAACCAACCATGCCAGTCAAAGTGAAACAGTGAATCTCAAAACTCACAGCTGTCAACAAAATTTTCGATAACAGCAAATTATTTACGATTATATTGATTTAATTAGAAAATCTATTATATATGTATATATAATAATTTAGCTATTTTACTGGATCGTAGATCAGAACAATCATTTGTAACTAAATTATAATTATACGAGAATTCTTACGCATTTTTGGCCTATTTTTTGAGTTTAAGAAACAGCAAAATCTTATCTTTATTGATACTCACGGCTTGAAGTGTCATTGCGATTATGCTGTTTTATTACTCTGATGTTATGTTAATTAGTTACTTGGCAATAATTAGTTCCCAGTTAGTTTAACCTTCGCTCTTGTACTCTTGATGGATGGATGGATAGATCTATAATAATACTTTTCCATCTATCTTTAGTCTGATACATTTCAAAATAGTGAAAATAACAAAACAAAAAGGCCATGCAACGTATTTGTAATTTTTCTACAAAATTTCATACAATGATAGTGTAGTCCTGATCCTACTAACTTTGAATCTGGCCTAGCACTAATTCTTCTGTCCAGAGTACCATGTCTTAAATAATTTAAGCATAGGATAAACCAATGGAATATTTGCTTCTGTTTCTTAAACAATTCAAAATCAGAAACTCATAACAACTAAAAACCAAAAATTTAAATAAACCATTGAAGAGAGCACAAGCTGCATCATGATATATAAAAGGTTGAAACAAATTAGGTAACTAGAAACGAGTTCTACTTACCAAGAAACCTCGAAACACTGCCTGGATTCGAATGGCAGCCCATTCCTGCTTGATGACCATGAAGTCTTTGAGTGGAGTCCTTACCACAGCAGCCAAAGCAGCAGCAAATGCTCCATCATCCACCACCAAGGACCCACCACCACCCTGCTCCTTCTGCATGGATGAGATTCCAATCCCAAACCCTTCTAAAGTGCCTCTCCATAACTTCCACTTTCTCTTACTCTTATCACCACCCTTCTCCTGAAAAATATAGAAATATACTAGTAAGCATCACCACAGCCAAATATAGCAAGTCAGAAAAAATCCCAACAAAAAATTTACAAACTTGATCAGTTGTGGAGGGCTTCCTGAGAGAAATGAGCGACTTAAGCCATCTTCCTGAACCACCCATTTGAGAAAAGAACACGTTTTTGCAAAGGACGAGGTGGTAACAGCAAGTGGACGTTGAGGTGAGTTTAAGTTTGAAGCTGGTGTTGTTGCTTGGCTTAATTAAGATATAACGAGAAGAAGTAGAAAAAAGTAGAAGAAGTGTTTTGAAATTTGAAATGTTTGTGAAAAAGAAAAAGGTCAATGAACAGAGGAAAGTACGCAAACGGATACGAAGACTTTTTGCTTTTCTGCTGTTCTCATGTCCCACTTACAGTTGACCTCTGATCAATGCCAACAACACTACATGGAAACGTGGTCGTTTCAATATGGGCTCTCCTAGGCTCATCTTGCCAATAGTACCACCCAAGCCCATTGGGCTCAAACAAAGGTCAACTTGTTAACACCTTACTTTTCATTCCATCTTTCTTCTCAAACTGTTTCTTCAATCTCTATTCTAAATCCCTATTTCATGTGAGATTGAAAATCCTGCAATTCTTCAAACAATTATTCTTCCTCCGACATATTCCTCTGTTTTCATAAACTATTACAAACCAATTATGGTTGGAACTTGAAATATTTATTTGTTGATACGACGTATTGACTACTCAATGTTTTAGGAAAATTGTGCATCCCTTCACCTTCCTCTTCTAATTGAAGACAACGAATATATTGTTCATTTTAGTTTTGAGTTCTAAAAGAGGATGCATTTTTAAAAAGTTATACTAAAAATGAAAATTAATAAAATACATAAAGTATGACAAATATTTTACCCTATTTTTATTTTAATTCAGTCCATTTGAAATTGCTTCCTTTATTCTAATCTTATGGATAAGCAGTATAAGATCCTATTTTTCTGGAAAAGAAACTCAAATTGTTTTTTTTTGTTTGCTTTATTAAAGGATTGTTTGGCTATAAATGGCTCCAAATATCTATTCAATTTTCATTCTAGAGAAGTAAAAAACTGAACTTTACAAAATTTCATTCCATTTGATAAGAAAAAAAAAACCATGTTTATTTTTTGGGGAAAAAATGGGAGGCCAAGTTTGATTTGGCATGTTGTGTTATTACAAAATGAACCCATGAAAGTTGTGATGAATTTTAGTTGATTTTCTCACACGTTGAGAATCATAATAGTTTTTTCTTTTGGTTCATCAAGCTTAAATTCCCCAAACTTGGAGTAGGGTGAAAGGAAATTAACAAAGTAAAATTCTGACCAGTTAAATATTATAAGGAAGAAAGTTTCAATCTTTATATAATATAACCCATTGCCTAATTTGTGGAATTTGGTCAATTTGGCTCGTGACTAGGAGACATTTATGTCCTTGAACCAAACCAAATCTTGACCCCTTTTTGTCTGTGTTTTTATTTTTGGTAACACAAGCCAAATCTTGACTTTCATATGCTTCAGCCAATGAAATTGCATGAGCACAATACCGTCACCAATCATGGCCTGGCATTACATGTCACTCTATCAATGGGGCTAACATGGCATGACTTGCTTTCAGTATGTCCATGTTATCTGTATGTGGAGTATTATACCAATTTCGCACATCACTGACGCAATGCCTCGTCCTCAAACCATGATTATGACTGGTGAGTGGTGGAGAAGACTTAGTGACCAAGGGAACACAATGTTATAAAAAGTAGAAAGAAATTCTTTTCTAAAAACTGCATTTGACTTACAAGAATCGAAGATCGACCCACCTCCTAAAATACTATTGGGTATTAACAAATGAGGAGTAAAAAATAATTCATCATAAGCTGCATAACCAAAAGAATTGGCCAAAAAATAAATCATGGGTTAGATGTTGTGTGGTGTGAAGGTTCAAATTAAAAGTGTGAAGCAGTGCCTATGCACCTAGCTTTGCAACTCGAACTAGAAAATTGAACACACACCTTATGTATGTAAGAGGTGTGTGATTTGAGCAAACTATTCAGGGGTTAGGCATTCCCATGTGCACAAGACTGGGAGATAGGTGGATTTTCGGACTAGGCCTTGGTGAGGGAATGGGTGCCTTGGCTGCTACTTTTCCATGGTTGAGTCTAGGTGATAGATTGAGTTGTTCAAGTGCCTTAACTTGGAGTTTTGCAGGGTACTCTCTCACACAACCAATTCTAGGACCAGCTCCAGTTGTCCATTTTCTTGACAATGGTTCCCTCTCTTTAACTTTTGAACTTTGCATACTGGTATCAGATTGAGCTAGATTGTCTTCATTGGAGTTTTTGGCAATGGTAAAGCCACTTGAACTAGCATTGTTAGCCATTTTGGATTCAATCTGTAGCTCCTCATCAACAGGTTTTGAAGGTGGGATGTCATCATCAATTGCATACTTCTGCACAAGGAAACCAGAAATTACAAAATGCCACACATCATGCACTTGCTTTTTATAAAAAGTCATTTTAAATAACTGAAATATATTAGTCAATTTTAGTTTGTGAAAACTTTTAATATATAAGTTTAGTTTATCCAAATTTGACCAAATAACCAATCTATGGAGAAAAATGGCTTCAAGTGATTCACTCACCTTTACATTGGTCAAGTCCACGTTATGTTCCATCAAGAACCCAATGAATTCCATAAAGTTCTTCATTGTAGGACAGTAATGACCGCTGTAGGGCCATATGGCCTGAATAAGAATGAATGGCATCAATTTATATACATATAAAGGAAGTAAAATGCCTTTCAACTTTTCCTTAAACTCTCTTTCGGTGCAGTGAAATTCCTATATTCCCTACCTATATGCTTCCCATTTTTACAAAATTACAGAACTGGAACAGTAACAGAAAATAATTTCATTGTATGTTGAATAATGATGAATGGTATGTATGCATGAATAAGACACGTGTCATACATCAAGAACTCCATCTTGAGCAACCAATCTTCCAGATGCAACAGTGGCACCCCCAGCCAAAAAACTTGAGTGCTGAAATTGACCTTTCTTTTTCTCACCAACGTACAAAACTCTAGAAGAGCTAAGAACAAAAATCCACTTTGATCCCTCCACAGTGTGTACAAGGTTCTGGCTCTTTCTATAAACTAGCCTTCCTCCCTCAATAACCACTTCATATGCTTCCCTCTCTTTCTGCATTTGCAAGCAACAAAGTGAATTGTGGTGGCTGCTAAAATTATCTTAAGTCAAATCTATTGAACAGCATAAAGAATCATTTAAAAGTTGCAATTATAAGTTAAGTCTTTTGTGCATTGAATTCACATGCACAAATGCCTTGTTGGTAGTTTACTAATCAATGGAATTTGTGCCTAAATTTGATTTTGTAGTCAACATAGCTACCTAAGCAATTCCATACACCACTCCCACTCTAGAATTGACCAAACATTATATAGAAAAGTTCATTCCACTGTCAAAATAAAAATGCATAAAAAGTCTCATTATATGTTGTTTATGTGGCATTGTCAAAGACATGAGGTGAAACAACTTACGGGTCCAAGATACTTTATGCATTGCTTATACAATTCACTTCTTAAGCACTCCTCAAGATTTACTTCTTTCCCATCTCCAACGTCCAACCTTCATGTCACCAACATGTAGTTGTGAAATCAGAAAGTTAAAATCAAAATTGTGCTCAAACTTTTCTGCAAGTGTCTTCTGTTAGTCAATTTTACCAGTAGAAAAAAGGTTGTGAACTCTGGCTTTGAAACCAAACATCATAGTATAAGTGCAGATTGTGACCATAACGGTGACGTGGATCAATCTGAAAACAAAAGGGAATCAATCTTAGTTTGGTTTGGTTTACTTTCACGTGCTCTTAATTGAATTTGTAAGTCTGAAATTAATCAAGATGTGAACAGGAGCTTACAGCTTCAAGCCAGTGCCTTAGAGCTAATTTCTGCGCCTTATCATCTTTGCACAAACCTTTTCCCACCTACCAATAGCACAGAAGAGAATAAAAATTATATTTTGATAACAATATACTAAATGAAAAGTTGTAGGACATAGAATGAAAACTTTGAATTTGTCTCTGTGGTCCCAGTCAAAGATATAATTGGAAAAGCCAAATTATGTCTAGTCAATTATATTTCATGCAACCACTACATTTTATTGGAAACCAATGGCTAAAATATTAAAGCAAACAATATTTATTCAGAGAGTTTAGCTTGCCACAAAGAAGGGGTACCTTAGCAGCCATGGTCCTAGCTCTTGCCCATTTTGAACTTGCTGTTTCTGATTTAGCAGAGTCAAAATTTAATGTGGAACACCTGCTTAGAGCAGCAAAGTCTAAAGCTTTCCACCTGAAATTAAGATTTCAAAGAAAACACTCGTTAAGGGAAAATTAATTAAGCACTAAATCAACCGCTAAGTATTTACACTGAAAACTACAAGTTTTATACTGTCATCTAGTAAAAGATAGTTACTACCTTAACAAAATCGTTTTAGAAATTAAATTCAACATTAAATCCCTTAAGCACGAAAAAAGAAAATCATGGAGATGGATATTGAACAAACCATAGCTCCTCACAAACAACTGCACAATCTGCAAGATTTCTTCTAGTCCTGTAGCCCTTGTAAACCTTCTGCAGCTTGATTGCAGCCACATCATGCTCCCCAATGTACTTTGGCGAAAACAACATTTCTTGTTTTGGCAACACAATTGGGGGGCTTTGTTTATTGAGCAAGCCATCAACTTTCTCCTTTGAATCAGAATTATCAGAGAGTAGATATTTGAAGGAGAATGTTGTTTGCAGCTTCAGATTCCCCACCTTCTTTCTCTTTGGGCTTGTAGATTTCTCAGTAATAACCTTATCCAATTCATCAGGATTATACAACTCGTCAAGTTTTCTGCACTTGTTGAAGCTCATTGTTCTGAAGGTGATCTCTCCCTCCTTTGACTCATAGTCCACCGGCCTTACCGTTGTCACCATTTGCACACCCTGAAGCTGACAAATAAGTAGCACTGGGTAGGTTAGAGTTTCACAAGCATTGGTGACAATTTGAGGAGAAGACCTTTCCTTTTTCAGTAGTGACCCATTTAATGCATCAAATTCATGAACATGCCATTCTCCTAAAGTCATAAGATTAAACATTCCCTACCCCAAGAGCAAGGTACTACTATTAGCCAAAGAAAATAAAAGTAGACCAAGTCAATCATTGATTCAAAATGCTTTAACAAAATTGAAACAAATATCTATCTCTGAATCATAGATAAACAAACTACATACTCCTATAACAACCTTGGCAACATATGATATATTTATCTTCAATGTGACTTATAAAAAGGCATATTTCCAACTGAAAACAGACTAATCAATCACCTTAAAGTATACGAAGTCAGATTCCCTTTATGCAAGATAGATAGCACTTGAGTTTTCTTAAGGTTAGTGTTGGAAATGGGCATTTCTGTTCTCTTATATAAGGCACGAGTTTTGAAGACATGAAAGAGGTGGAAAATTGTCCTGGTAGGTACTTTCAAATACGTAAGGAACAGAGAATGCAGAAAATTGTGACCCTTTTGGAATTTTTATTACCAATAAAGGAGTTTAGTTTGAATAGAAAATAAGGAAATTTGTGTGGGCAACAAGCCCCATAAATGGGTTATTCTGAATTCAGATTTTGGAAAATGATAATGTGACTTGCAGAAAGTGTTACATGAGTATGTGAAAAGGTTACACGCGGTTATGTTGAAGAAACAGAATCAGTCAAAACTCAAAGGCAAGCTATTTTTTCATGGGTCCCTCTTTCAATGCCAAATTAACATTTTTTTTTCTTTATGAAAAGACAAATATTTTATAAGAGGACTTTTTTTTTTTTGAAGTTTTTAAATGAAAAACTCTTTGTTTGATTGTGTGGTGAGAACGAGAAGTGGGAAAATTAATTTTGTCTAATTGATGATGAGAAAAAAAGGGAATTTAAAAAAAAATAATGAGACGTATTTGCAATATTTTTCATTTGTTTTTACTTATATTTATGTTTCTCTTTATCTTCGATCAAATTATACAACTTTCATCAAACTTTCTATATGTTTTTCACCCTTCTATTTTACCAAAAAATTAATAATTTTATTTATTTTTATGTATTTTTTAATAAACTTATTTATTCTATATTTCCATTCTTTATGTTCCTCTCTTCAAATTCAAACAAAACATTCATTATTTTAGTTTTTCTTTGATTATTTTCAATAAAAATAGTTTTTAAAAACTAGAAAAGAAAGACAGATAATACCCTAAATATATCATGTTATTAATATATCATAATTTTTAAAATTCCTATTATTAGATATCTAAATATTTAAAATTCTATCAGATATTTTTTCAATATTTAGATAATATTTACTTTAAACATGCTATGCAAATATAACAAAATAAAATCCCTACCATTGCAATTCATATAATGAATTTTTAAAATTGAATTTCTCATGTTACAAAGTCATAATCTTCTGTTTTTTGTTTATTAATATAATTTTTTTTTGTATGTGATTTATTATCATAATTTTTAATTGTTGGGTAAATTTTATATATTTATTTTAAGACTATAATTTAATTTAATATTAATATTTGATCCCAAAGTTCTATGTCTTTTCAGGGATCTATCTTTTTTTTATATAAGCAAATAAAATCAATTAAGTCTGAGTACAAGGGGTACTCGGAACCCAAAAACAGAATACATCATTACAAAGCGAGATAAAACCCATTAAAAAAATACAAAATACATAAAAAAACACACTAAACAAAACAGATCCAAGGATTATTGTGTCAGTCTACAAGACTAAAAGACATTCCCATACCAATCGAAGATATCCACTTTCAAGAATGTAGACGAATAGAATCAAGCAACTCTAACAGATCCACAACGTCTTGTTTAAAGACCACACAGTTCTGATGTAACCAAATGGACCAAATGACCGCAACCCAAATTGTTGAAAGTCCCACATCGCCTACCTCATATCATTTGGTATGATTTAAATACATGTTAGACTACTCCACATATTGCCAATTGGTTTTATGTTGGAATCTTAACATGGTATCAGAGCCAAAACCTAACATCTTTTCGGTTATTGTCATGGGCCAAAAGTTGCCCTTTAGTTGGGTCAAAAGTACCCTTTGCCTGGTCCGGCAGGCTTCGTTAGAGGGGGCATGTTGAAAGTCCAACATCACTTACCTCATGTCATTTGGTATGATTTAAATACATGTTAGGCTACTCCACATATTGCCAATTGGTTTTATGTTGGAACCTTAACACAAATAATAACAAAGTACTGAGATCGTTTTTTACTCCTCCCTTAACCACACCAAACAAGAAAAAAAGGACACCATTATATGCCACCAGACAAAAAACAAAAAGATGCACCAGATCTTCTACAGATAAACCGCACATAGGGCACAAAGTAGAATTCAACTGCACACCACGCCCTTGCAGAAGCAACCTGCAGGGAACAAAATTCAAGAAAAGCTGCCAAGAAAACACCAAACATTTGATAGGTACTTTACCTTTCCAAAGTCTGCACAACACCTCCTGGATATTAACGTCAAGAGACGGAATATTAATTAGAAAAGTTAACAGTCAACCATAAGCAGACTTAACAGAATATAACCCTGAATCATCAGCTAGCCAACACCAGTGATCCTTTAGGTGAGGCCGCAACACAAATCCATCCAAAATTTTCATCAAATTCGCTACCAATGATAACTCAAATGAGAAGGGCAAACGACACCAAGGAATGTCCCAAACCCAATTATCTCCAGACCAATGACCATTCTGCGGTACACCCGAAGAGGGATCGAGAGCAAAGGAATATAATATGGAAAAAACCTCCTTAAGCCTAAAGCCACCCAGCCACCTATCCTCCAAAAATCTCGTCGAAGTACCATCTCCCACAGCCCGTAATATCTTGTCATCCACCCATTGCCCTCCTAACGGTAAAGTAGACACAAGATCCCGCCACCAACTAGAAGCACGCCGATCCACCAAACACACACTCAACAATGACGGGGTCAGGCCATACCGCGGCCAAAGAACCCCTAGATATGATAAGCAACGCCAGATCTATTTGTCAAGTAAAGCGTAATTAAACAACTTCACATCCTTAATTTCAAGCCCACCAGCTCCCTTTGGCCGACACACCAACTCCCACTGGACCCAAGGGATCTATCAATCACAAATTATCATCATTTTCATCTTAAAGCTTTAAAAAAATTGTTCATTATTAATAAACTAATTTATAATTTTTTTTACAGCATATGGAATTTAACATGAATTTATGAAGGTAAGACTCTAGGAAACAAAATTAAAATATAGAAAAACTTACTACAATTTAATCTTTTGACTCTCATGCATCAACCCCACACTAGGGTTAGTCTTGCTTTCATGATAAAAAAATTGATGGAGAAAAAGATTATTATTGTTTGAACGTTTACTTATTTTAAAAGAAGTAAATGTTATTATTTGTTATAAAATGAAAATATATCACACTTAACATTATAAAATTAATATTATAATGTATTCGTAACTCTTAATTAAGTCTTATATTAGGGAATATAAAGTTATATTATACAATCGCGATTATATAAGTTTTATTAAATATAAGATAAATGAGATATTTTCTACGTATATACGTACACGCTAATACATTATTGATTTGAGTATTAGAGTTTTTTTTTTTTCAGGTTTTCTATTCAGTTTTAAAATCGAGAATCGAATATTGAATATAAAAATCGAGAATCGAATATAAAAAATACTTAAAAAAAAGAATCACATAAATAGTAGATTGAATTTACGTTCTACTGTTATAAAAACAAATATATTATTATATTTTTAGTCACATAGGGTTTTATGATATTCTTTTTATTGAAGAAATTTTTATCAAAATATATATTGAAAAGATAAAGAAAAAATTGTTTTATATAATATGAAAGTAATATGAATGAGAGAAGAAAACGGAGAGGGAGCATGAAACATAGGGAGTGTTTCCTTGGGAGCGACGCAAAGTGCAGCAGATAATATCAATCGAATTCAATTCATATTCAAAATTGATTTTTTGATGCGGTCGAAGTCAAGAGATTGAAAACTAAATCTCAGTTGTCGTTGTTTTGGGTGTTTGTGTTTCCCTCGGGAGTTTAGTTTTCAACGCGGTTCAATTCGTGTTAATGGTCATCACCAACAGTTTGTCATAAATATATGCAAAGAAGTTGTGAATTGCTCGCACAAAACGTTCAACTACGTGCGTCACTCCGACCTTGACTCTGCTAGGTCCGGTCGTGAATCATCATTTTTCATTCACAATTTCGTGTCGTCCATGTTCTCCACATCCACCCATGTGCGCAATCCACCAAACCAAAATTATTACATATTATTTTAGAGTCACGTCAATTAATAATTGTAGATATAAATTGGTAAATTATGAGATATTAGAGATGTAACCTATTACTTATATATAGTAAACTGTTTGATAACATATTTACAACCTATATCAAATCTGTAACTTATTAATTATATATGGTAAACGTTCTGATAATAAATTACCTATATAAGTATGAATTTTGACAAATTTTGAGTTCAAGTTTAGCCTGTTTCTGTTATTTAACTCTAGTTTCTGAAAGTGTATTTTTTTTTCTTCTTATATTCATCTATCGTCTTTTTCTTTTCAGTTATCTTATTTATATCTAAAAAGTTTTATAGTCTTTTAATTCATGTGATCAGTACTTCTCTCAATTTGTTAAGGGAAATGAGATTTCAACGGTTTGATAACATATCTGCAACCTATTACTTATATATATATGAATTTCGAGCTCAATTTCAGCCAGTATCTGTTCTCTAACCCTGGTTCCTGAAAGTGTATTCTCTTTTTCTTCTCGCATCATCTATCATTTATCTTCTTTTTCTTTTCAATTCTTCTATTTATATCCAAAGAACTTCGTAGTCTTTTAATCCATGCGATCAATGCTTCTCAATTTGCTCAATGGAATGAGGTTTCTTTGATTCCTGTCTGCTAAGCGCTTTTACCCTTTCAAAAGGGTTTGCTCTCCGGCGTGAATCGCTCGACGGATTCGAAGCTAGCTGAGCAATTTTTGTTCTTCTCTATCATATTTTT